ATTATGCATCACTACACGTGATGTCATGTATCATCAGACCCGACTTTATGTATCACTACACATGTGATGTACCATCAGACCTGACATTATGTATCACTACACATGTGATGTACCATCAGACCTGACATTAAGTATCACTACACATGTGATGTACCATCAGACCTGACATTATGTATCACTACACATGTGATGTACCATCAGACCTGACATTATGTATCACTACACATGTGATGTACCATCAGACCTGCAATTATGCATCACTACACGTGATGTCATGTATCATCAGACCTGACATTATGTATCACTACACATGTGATGTACCATCAGACCTGACATTATGCATCACTACACGTGATGTCATGTATCATCAGACCTGACATTAAGAATCACTACACATGTGATGTACCATCACACCTGACATTATGTATCACTACACATGTGATGTACCATCAGACCTGACATTATGTACCACTACAGATGTGATGTACCATCAGACCTGACATTATGTACCACTACACGTGATGTCATGTATCATCAGACCTGACATTAAGTATCACTACACATGTGATGTCATGCATCAATACATACAATCGTCAAGACGTCTAATACACACATCTGATTGAGAGCCAATCTGTCAATGCACAGTCATGAACAATAACACCAGTCTGACACACAGTCATGAACAATAACACTGGCCTGACACAGTCATGAGCAATATCACCTGTATGACACAGTCATGTGCAATAACACCAGCCTGACACACAGTCATGAACAATAACACCGGCCTGACACAGTAATGAGCAATATCACCTGAATGACAGTCATGTGCAATAACACCAGCCTGACTGACTGAGTTTGGTTTTACGCCGCTTTTAGCAATATTCCAGCAACATCACGGCGGGGGACACCAGAAATGGGCTTCACACATTGTACCCATGTGGGGATTCGAACCCGGGTCTTCGGCGTGACGAGCGGACGCTTTAACCACTAGGCTACCCCACCGCCCCTACCAGCCTGACACAGTCATGAACAATATCACCTGTATGACAGTCATGAACAATAACACCTGCCTGACACACAGTCATCAACAATAATCACCAGTCTGACACACAGTCATGAACAATAACACCTGTCTGACACAGTCACAAACAATAAACACAAGCCTGACAGTCATGAACAATAGCACCAGCCTGAGACAGTCATGAAGAATAAACACCAGCCTGACACAGTCATGAACAATAACACCAGCCTGACAGTCATGAACAATAACACCGGCCTGACACACAGTCATGAACAATATCACCTGTCTGACACACAGCCATGAACAATAACACCAGCCTGACACAGTCATGAACAATAACATCTGCCTGACACACAGTCATGAACAATATCACCTGTCTGACACACAGCCATGAACAATAACACCAGCCTGACACAGTCATGAACAATAACACCAGCCTGACAGTCATGAACAATAACACCAACCTGACAGTCATGAACAATAAACACCAGCCTGACACACAGTCATGAACAATATCACCTGTCTGACAGTCATGAACAATAATACCAGCCTGACAGTCATGAACTATAACACCTCTCTGACAGTCATGAACAATAACACCTGCCTGACACACAGTCATGAACAATATCACGTGTCTGACACACAGCCATGAAAAATAACACCAGCCTGACACACAGCCATGAACAATAACACCAGCCTGACACAGTCATGAACAATAACACCAGCCTGACAGTCATGAACAATAACATCTGCCTGACACACAGTCATGAACAATATCACCTGTCTGACACACAGCCATGAACAATAACACCAGCCTGACACAGTCATGAACAATAACACCAGCCTGACAGTCATGAACAATAACACTAACCTGACAGTCATGAACAATAAACACCAGCCTGACACACAGTCATGAACAATATCACCTGTCTGACACAGTCATGAACAATAATACCAGCCTGACAGTCATGAACAATAACACCGGCCTGACAGTCATGAACAATAAACACCAGCCTGACAGTCATGAACAATAACACCTGCCTGACACAGTCACGAACAATAACACCAGCCTGACACACAGTCATGAACAATAACACCTCTCTGACAGTCATGAACAATAACATCAGCCTGACACACAGTCATGAACAATATCACCTGTCTGACAGTCATGAACAATAATACCAGCCTGACAGTCATGAACAATAACACCAGCATGACAGTCATGAACAATAACACCTGCCTGACACACAGTCATGAACAATATCACGTGTCTGACACACAGCCATGAACAATAACACCAGCCTGACACACAGCCATGAACAATAACACCAGCCTGACACAGTCATGAACAATAACACCAGCCTGACAGTCATGAACAATAACACTAACCTGACAGTCATGAACAATAAACACCAGCCTGACACACAGTCATGAACAATATCACCTGTCTGACACAGTCATGAACAATAATACCAGCCTGACAGTCATGAACAATAACACCGGCCTGACAGTCATGAACAATAAACACCAGCCTGACAGTCATGAACAATAACACCTGCCTGACACAGTCACGAACAATAACACCAGCCTGACACACAGTCATGAACAATAACACCTCTCTGACAGTCATGAACAATAACATCAGCCTGACACACAGTCATGAACAATATCACCTGTCTGACAGTCATGAACAATAATACCAGCCTGACAGTCATGAACAATAACACCAGCATGACAGTCATGAACAATAACACCTGCCTGACACACAGTCATGAACAATATCACGTGTCTGACACACAGCCATGAACAATAACACCAGCCTGACACACAGCCATGAACAATAACACCAGCCTGACACAGTCATGAACAATAACACCAGCCTGACAGTCATGAACAATAACACCAGCCTGACAGTCATGAACAATAACACCTGCCTGACAGTCATGAACAATAACACCAGCCTGACACACAGTCATGAACAATAACACCAGCCTGACATAGTCATGAACAATAAACACCTGCCTGACACACAGTCATGAACAATAAACACCAGACTGTCACAGTCATGAACAATAACACCAGCCTGACAGTCATGAACAATAAACACCAGCCTGACACAGTCATGAACAATAACACCAGCCTGACACGGTCATGAACAATAACACCAGCCTGACACGGTCAAGAAAAATAAACACCAGCCGGACACAGTCATGAACAATAAAAACCAGCCTGACAGTCATGAACAATAACACCTGCCTGACACAGTCACGAACAATAACACCAGCCTGACACACAGTCATGAACAATAACACCTCTCTGACAGTCATGAACAATAACATCAGCCTGACACAGTCATGAACAATAACACCAGTCTGACACACAGTCAAGAACAAAATCACCTGTCTGACAGTCATGAACAATAACACCTGCCTGACAGTCATGAACAATAACACCAGCCTGACACACAGTCATGAACAATAACACCAGCCTGACACAGTCATGAACAATAAACACCTGCCTGACACACAGTCATGAACAATAAACACCAGACTGTCACAGTCATGAACAATAACACCAGCCTGACAGTCATGAACAATAAACACCAGCCTGACACAGTCATGAACAATAACACCAGCCTGACACGGTCATGAACAATAACACCAGCCTGACACGGTCAAGAAAAATAAACACCAGCCAGACACAGTCATGAACAATAAACATCAACCTGACACACAGGCATGAACAATAACACCAGCCTGACAGTGACGAACACAGATTACACCCACAAGTGTACATGAACGAATACACCTACAAGGCAAATGTGTATATTAACAAATACACCTTCATGGCAGAGGTGTACATTATAAGTTGTTCACTGGTCACGAGGGTACATCAACCCATGGGCCCCGAGGGACCAGTGAACAACGTATTTATCTTACCGAACACCTTAATGTTAATTTTGAATTGTTTGAGGCACGGGTACAAATCTTTTGTAGCCATCGCTAGATTTTGCTGACAAGAAAAACAGACTTAGAGTTAACTCCCTTACTTCGATTTGCATTCGCAAAACATTGGTAATTTCCGTACATCATACGTGATTCAATGTTATTCGAGATAAAGAATTACTACCACGCAGTACCAAATGTTACTTGCTTGTAAGCGGCGTACATTGAAAATAATAGAAGAGCGCTCAGCAGGGCTCCAGATAAGTTTTCAACATCAGGAGTACGTACTCCTTATTTTTTCAATACAGGAGTACTGGAAAACCTTAAGAGTACATTTAGAGTACTGAATGGGATTTAATGAAGTATCAGTAATCTTGTGTTTCGTTTCATATATGCACCCCAACATTGCAATAATCAATAAAACAATACATTTTCAGATAAATGCGTCTATAGAGGATTCTAACACCGTACACCATTGCTGTGGTGCATATCTGCTACGTTTTCTAAATTATTTCCTACCGTATCGTGCTTATTTTATATCCATACATACGCAGATACGACCCTTATCTGGAGCCCTGGCTCAGTCAATCAGAAAGCGACATTTATGTGTGAGGTAAGATAATATAAGTTGTTCAATGGTCACAAGAGGGACATGGGTTCATGTACCCTCTATGTATGTTTGTTAGAGCCCTTTGGGCTCATGGAACATAGACAAACAGAGGGTACATCAACCCATGGGCACCGAGGGACCAGTGAACAATGTATTTATCTTACTGAACACCTAATTTTGAACTGTTTGAAGCACAGGTATTGGATCATAATAAGGAGTACCAGAGTTAGGCAACAGCCCTAACACTACTAACACTAAGTTCCTCAGTTCGGCATTTCCAGGTAACATAGAAAATGTTACTCGCTTGTAAGCGGGGTGCCATTCACAAAACAACATTTATGTGTGAGGTAAGATAGTAACGAATACACCTACATGGCAAAGGTGTACATGAACGAGAATAGGAAACAAACTGAGGACACACATGTAGTTTTGAAATTATTTCATTACAAAATCATATATATATATATATACTTCTGTCAAACATCTTTGGAAGAGTGTAACCCCACGTTCAGCAAATATTACACATCCTTGGGAGTACAGGGACACATTATGAGCAAATTGTCTTTAGCACTTTCAAGTGAGTCCACCTCAATGATTCTAGCACCGCAAGGTGTCGTTCATCTCATGTCACAGCTAACTTCTGACCATTTGAAAACTTCCTGTTTTGATTATGTTCAGGTACAATTTGTTTGAAGCATAGGAATCTTATCATTTCAACATTTGATTAAGATGCCTCAGGCCTTTTGTAATATCCAGACATCTGGGGCGCCACAGACTGGCCTGTAAATGTGGGACATTCCCTGCATTCCAGAAGTACCCTGTCTTCACCAGTCAGTAATAGCCTGAGGCTAGCAGTGTCATAGGTCATGGCATCTGGACACAGGTCATCACCTCTTGTGCCACAGACCTAGATTGAGTGTGTCCAAGCTTGGAAGCTGCATGATCTTCTCCAGGCCTACAGTTGTGATGCGTGTACAACCATACAGGTCTATAGATCGCAAATTGCGCATTTTCTCACCAATTAAACTTAGTCCCCTATCTGTAATTTTCACACACTGTCCAATATTCAGTGTTTTTAATTCTTGTAATGTATTAACAAGACGGTTTATTCCATCGTCACTGATGTTGCAAGCACTTAGGCTCAAATTCCTCAAACTTAGTTGTCCTTGGGAGAGGAAATAGAGTCCTTGATCACCAACTTTGTCACAAAAACTCACATCCAATGATGTTATCCTTGAACCACCTTCCGACAAATAACCTAAACCATTGTCACTGATGTTGTCACAACTTCGCAGATTAAGTTCCCTCAAACTGAGCATTTTGGACAGGTACTTTATACCTGTGTCTGTCACACTGCCACAGAATGAAAGGTTAATAGTCTTGAGAGTTGTCAAGCCTAGACTCACATGTTTCAAAGCTTGGTCAGTTAGTTTCTGGCAGTCCTGTAACCCCAGGTGTTCCAGCTCCGGGTTTCCACACGCGGACTTGTGACACAGTCCTGCTAGATAACCTATACCCTGGTCAGATATGTGGCGGCAGCTTCGTAAATTCAAACTTTTCAATTTTCGTAAACTGACTGCCACAAGCAGAAGTCCTGTGTTGCTCACATTGCAACAGCCACCCAGTTCAAGCACTTCTAAGTTCTTCAAAAACTGTGTGATCCTCCCTAAGCTTGAATCGGTCACTTGTTTGCATAGGCTCAAGTTGAGCACTGTCAGGGAAGCCAGTTCCTGGGCGAAGGCATGGCTGAGTCCGAAATCGGTAATATTGTAACAACCACTAAGATTTAAACTTTCTAGACCGGGTATTCCTAAGACGACATCTCGGAGACTTCGTCTCAAACTAAGCACTTGGACTCGATGAATGCCACGCTTCACAAGGCTTGGAAACAAAGAAGGGTTTGCACGGCGAAGATGTAGCTTCGCTTCAACTTTTCGCCAAACCATGCGGTTATAAGCAGCGTCTCGCCAAGTGGTACATACCTGGGCTACCCGTCCTTTATCTCTTGTGTCCAAATAACTAAATACCATGGCCAATATTTCAGGAAATAGTGCAGAAATGTGTGTTCGAGACCGCTCGCAACGATCCTCCATATTAGTTGAAGCCAGGCTGGGAAGGTCACGTGGTATTAGCAAACAAGCCTTTCGTCTGTTGAGACCGTATCGCTGATTGGTCAGATTTGTCCTTGTCGAAGGCAGACCGCGGTAACAAAACCTGTATAACTCGAGACCCAACAATCTGTATAGTTACTGACTGTCTGTGAATGGCCAAGGGGGATAAATGGATCGCGCTAGTTTTCAGTGGTAATTTACTAGGTCAACGTGAACTGAAATGTTTCGGATATTGTGTTACGATTGATACAAGGGCAGCTGTCAAAACTTGTGAGATAACTTAAAAGTAACCGTTACAGATACAGTATAAACTTTTATATAGTTTGATGAAACATTATTTATTTTTATTATTATTATTGGATATTTATATAGCGCACATATCCACGCACTAGTGCATGCTCAAGGCGCTGATTAGATTCTGAAAGGGCGTGAAATATTGAAATGAATACTTCATTGAAAATTCAAGATCATTGTGATTATAAAATTGTTGTGTATTTTATAATCAAGACATATATTGTTGGTTGTACACGTAAATTATTTACGTATTCTATACGGATAATATAACTTAATATTTGTAAATAGTCTCTCATAACCCCACTAGAGATGGCTCATTTTATGTATTAGTTTTTACGATGTTTTATATGTATTATGTATGAGGTGAGGATCGCAATACACAATCTGTCTCTCTGTCTGTCTAAGTGCACAACATATTATTGCTTTTGTAATAGGAAACTAGTTTTGTTATAATTTACCTTGTGAATAATGCTCAATCTCTCCCCTCCTGATGTGATGCGACTCTCACAGGTGACTTTTACACAGAATTCGATGTTTAGTCTTTATTCCGAAATATTTCGTTTTGCGGACAATAAATAATAAATTAATTCAAAGTGTGTCATCACAACAAATCCAATTTCCTTTTCCACGAAAATCTCAAATCAGTGATTGAACCTGTTATCTGAACACCCATGTCTCCGTTACAGCGTGGACAAGTCAGACGTTCACCGTCAAGTAAGTAAGTGTGATACAGGGAGAGCATACTTACGTGGATCGGAAGGGCTTTCCTCTTAACAGGGGCGTAGCTACCATTATGAAAAAAAGCCCGGGCTTACACATGATTGTGAAAAGGAAAGTTGGGCAAGCTCTCAATACTATCTAAATGTATAGCTTTGTAGCCTATCGGGCTTACACGAAAATATTGGCTTGTTACGCGCCTGCTTAATTATTGTTTTTGTTAATTTTGTTTGTCAAAAGGAATCACAGTGGCAAAAGTAATATATATATATAGCTTCCCGACGTTGAAGGCAGGACAGTTTCTAAACATCACCAGTTGCGATTTGAAATTTAGAATAGTTCCTCCGCAATCCCCCAGTTACTCGGCCGTAACCTGCTGACGTCAGGCTCGTGCGGGCAGCGGCAGACTGGGTCACATGGCTTGGCTTCAAACTATCCCCATGTAACCTCCCTTAACCTCCCTTAACCTCCCTCAACCTACTAACGGCGACTACCCCCCCAAAATAAACCAACAAAGGAGACAAGACAATAACGAAACAGAAAATTAGAATTGTGACGTCACAATTTGCATTAAAGTTAGTATTGCTCATTTCCCATTGGTGTCATGGATTCAATGTCAAGTATAAATATATCTGTATATTGATATTACTGAACCCTCAATCTCTTGACTTAACCATTCAATAAAATGCCAACACACACCTCGCATAAAGCTTTCATCCAGTCAGATGTTAATGGACAGTGGCAATGTTAATGTCTCATCAAAAGATGAACACGGTGCAGTGTAAAGACTCTGCGTGAGATGTCGCACAACGAAGGTCTAAGATAATATACATAGCCGTTCACGCACTATACTTGAGGAAGTGTAATGAGTCAGTGAGTGAGTGAGTTTAGCTTTAGGCCGCTTTTAGCAATATCCCGGCAATATGACGGCCGGGGACACCAGAAGTGAGGAAGTATAATGGATATGGAGGATAATAAACACTTTATGATATTGTATATGCAAACAACATACGGAATGATGGCGATTACCCATCGGTCCCTTGGTACACAGCCTGTCACCATTCAGTGTGTGGACATTCCATGTCTGCCAATAGGAATATTGCATATCGATATGACAGTATACAACAGCAGCGGTAACAGCAATAACGTCAGTGCTGATATTCTCCTGGTGACTACAGTGGACAAGCTTCTAAAGGGCCTAGGCTTCATACCATCGATTGTCTTCTGTCATGTGAGATGGGGAGGCTTGCTATATAATCTAAATACCTTAAGAATGTTCTGTCCTACGCCGGATTGGTCTAGGATCTATAGCTGGCAACATTCCAAACTACACCCCCAAAACCACATCTAACTGTAGTAACGTTCACATCAGTGCTTACACTGGATGTAGATACATGCTTGGCAACTAATTGTTGTTCAAACACAACGTCATGACCTGAAGTATTGTAATACAATTACAACAGTTACCTCGCTTTGTTCAGTAGATACATGCTTGGCAACTAACTGTTGTTCAAACACAACGTCATGACCTGAAGTATTGTAATACAATTACAACAGTTACCTCGCTTTGTTCAGTATATATATAAGACTAGTTACCTCGCTTTGTCAGGTATATATATAAGTGTAGTTACCTCGCTTTGTCAGGTATATATATAAGAGTAGTTACCTCGCTTTGTCAGGTATATATATGAGTAGTTACCTCGCTTTGTCAGGTATATATATATAAGAGTAGTTACCTCTTGCATCTCACCTGTTTGTGAAATGCGCATTATGTCGGAAAGCGCACGTTAAAATCTCCAAATCATCATCATCATCATCATCATCATTGCATCTCACGTTACATGACATCTCAAGTTACAAGAAACAGTGTGAGATTATCATACCCTGCCAAGGCCTAGATGCACGTTGGATTACTGTTACTGAATATTACCATCATTGTATACTTTTCAAACGAAGAAATGCATAAGCCATATTTAGAAAGATTTATTGTGTTAGTTTAAGAGCAATTAGTTCATGTAATTTCAATGGTAAAAAGGTGACAATTCACAAAGAGTTCGCCAACACAAATGCAGCCTTTATTAGTGCGTTTCCGTTTACTTAGGTCCACAAAATGGCGTCAAAGTCAGTACGTTGCGATGCAAAGGCAGCAATTACTGCTCGGCACCGTCTCGGCACAGACTGGATAAGTCGGCGAAGTCGCTCTTTTGGAATTCTTCCCCACTCTTACTGCAATGCGAAGGCCAGTTGTGGAAGTGCCTGAAACGTGTTTTCACGTACACTTCGATCGACTTCCTCCCATAGGTGCTCTATCGGGTTTAGCTCTGCGAAGGCCATGGCAAGACATTGACGTTAGAATTGCGAGCTGTGACGCGTGCTGTATGTGAAGGAGTGTTGTCCTGCTGGAACACCTCCCTCTGTCGGACCGTGACGCGTGCTGTATGTGAAGGAGTGTTGTCCTGCTGGAACACCTCCCTCTGTCGGACCGTGACGCGTGCTGTATGTGAAGTAGTGTTGTCCTGCTGGAACAGCTCCCTCTGTCGGACCGTGACGCGTGCTGTATGTGAAGTAGTGTTGTCCTGCTGGAACACCTCCCTCTGTCGGACAGTGACGCTTGCTGTATGTGAAGTAGTGTTGTCCTGCTGGAACACCTCCCTCTGTCGGACAGTGACGCGTGCTGTATGTGAAGTAGTGTTGTCCTGCTGGAACACCTCCCTCTGTCGGACAGTGACGCGTGCTGTATGTGAAGTAGTGTTGTCCTGCTGGAACACCTCCCTCTGTCGGACAGTGACGCTTGCTGTATGTGAAGTAGTGTTGTCCTGCTGGAACACCTCCCTCTGTCGGACCCGTGGACGTGCTGTATGTGAAGTAGTGTTGTCCTGCTGGAACACCTCCCTCTGTAGGACCGTGATCATGACGCGTGCTGTATGTGAAGTAGTGTTGTCCTGCTGGAACACCTCCCTCTGTCGGACAGTGACGCTTGCTGTATGTGAAGTAGTGTTGTCCTGCTGGAACACCTCCCTCTGTCGGACAGTGACGCGTGCTGTATGTGAAGTAGTGTTGTCCTGCTGGAACACCTCCCTCTGTCGGACAGTGACGCGTGCTGTATGTGAAGTAGTGTTGTCCTGCTGGAACACCTCCCTCTGTCGGACCGTGACGCGTGCTGTATGTGAAGTAGTGTTGTCCTGCTGGAACACCTCCCTCTGTAGGACCGTGATCATGACGCGTGCTGTATGTGAAGTAGTGTTGTGCTGCTGGAACACCTCCCTCTGTAGGACCGTGATCATGACGCATGCTGTATGTGAAGTAGTGTTGTCCTGCTGGAACACCTCCCTCTGTAGGACCGTGACGCGTGCTGTATGTGAAGTAGTGTTGTCCTGCTGGAACACCTCCCTCTGTAGGACCGTGATCATGACGCATGCTGTATGTGAAGTAGTGTTGTCCTGCTGGAACACCTCCCTCTGTCGGACCGTGACGCGTGCTGTATGTGAAGTAGTATTGTCCTGCTGGAACACCTCCCTCTGTCGGACCGTGACGCGTGCTGTATGTGAAGTAGTGTTGTCCTGCTGGAACACCTCCCTCTGTAGGACCGCGTGATCATGGCGCTGCTGTATGTGAAGTAGTGTTGTCCTGCTGGAACACCTCCCTCTGTCGGACCCGTACTTGGCGTGCTGTATGTGAAGTAGTGTTGTCCTGCTGGAACAGCTCCCTCTGTCGGACCGTGGACGCTGCGTGCTGTATGTGAAGTAGTGTTGTCCTGCTGGAACAGCTCCCTCTGTCGGACAGTGCGCGTGGCGTGCTGTATGTGAAGTAGTGTTGTCCTGCTGGAACACCTCGATCTGTTGGACAGTGACGCGCGTGCTGTATGTGAAGTAGTGTTGTCCTGCTGGAACACCTCCCTCTGTCGGACCGTGGACCTGTGTGGCGTGCTGTATGTGAAGTAGTGTTGTCCTGCTGGAACACCTCCCTCTGTCGGACCGTGACGTGTGCTGTATGTGAAGTAGTGTTGCC